GTGGTAGTTGTTAAGTAACATCATGAAATAAAATGAAATGTTGTTCTTTGTTGAATCCAAAGTAGCTACATTATGACTAGTCACTTTTGTTTTCATGTGAAGTTAATTATATGTTCAATTTATTAACAGTCATACATACATACATAAATTAATTATACATAAATTAATACATAAATTATACATATGTACATTTATACATACATTTAGACATTTATACATAAATTAATTAAATTATCGCATTACACTTCGTATAATGTCTCAACATACTGTAAGCATTTGATAATAAAAGTGATGGTGGGTTAAATTCAATGTTCTTTAAGCTGTAAGCAACATCTGTGTTTTCTTTGCACCCATTTGCCAGTCAACAATTAAGTTGGCTGTGAGCCACTACAAAGTGTCTTTTATTTATTTTCTGTTTTGTAGCATATGAAATAATTTTATGTCAGTTGTTTTTTCTGATCCTAACAGTTGTCCATGGCATGTGATATTTCAAAGCATGTTAGCGATAGAGCTATGGATTGATTGTAGATCTTGTGACTCCAGATCCAGAGCATTTCTTGAATATCCAAAGACGGTATATGCTTAATGCCTTAATAAAATACACATTGTTGTCTTTTACCTATTTCAATGCATATAATAGACAACTATATTTATGTAAAATAATATCCTGGACTTTTAGCAAATTAATGAAGAACTGACATGTCTCCAGGACCTATTTATACTAGGATGTGTATTTCTTGTTCTAATTATGTATTGTTATGCATAGTTTTTGGTAGGATAAACTTACTAAAAACTTAGTGGCTTAAAATAGTAACCATTTGGGGCGCCTGGGTGGCGCAGTCGGTTAAGCGGCCGACTTCAGCCAGGTCACGATCTCGCGGTCCGTGAGTTCGAGCCCCGCGTCAGGCTCTGGGCTGACGGCTCAGAGCCTGGAGCCTGTTTCCGATTCTGTGTCTCCCTCTCTCTCTGCCCCTCCCCCGTTCAAGCTCTGTCTCTCTCTGTCCCCCAAAAAATAAATAAACGTTAAAGAAAAATTTATAAAAAAATAAAAATAAAAAAAATAAAATAGTAACCATTTAATGCACTTGCCATCATTCTGCCATTTGGTCACTGCTTAGGTTGTGTGCTTCAATGGCATCAGTGGGGGTGGGGCTTGGGAGGGGTGGTTTAAGGCCACATTTCTAAGCAGGCTAACTCTCATGGCTGGAAGGTTGACGATAATTGTTTGCTGGAACTCAGATGTATGGGTTGGCCAGTAGCCTTGGTTCACACTTCTGTCTGGATTTGTTGGTTCGTCCCCCAAAGCCTCTCTGTGTGGTTAGCTTGGGTTTCCTTATAGGACTGAGTTCTCAGGGTAGTTGACTTCCAAAAGGGCCAGAGCAACAACTTCCTAAGCACTTGGGCTCAGAAGTGGCACAGTGTCACTTCTGCCACCTTCTGTTGGTTCATATGACTCATAGGGCCAGCGCATATTCAAGGAGAGAGAACAACACGAGGAAGTGTGTTTCACCGGGAGCCATCAATGCATCACTCAGAAACTTGTAAATAAATGCTCATAGCTTTACTCACAGCAGCCTTGTTCTGGAAACCACCCAGATGTCCTTCAGTGGATGAATGGCCATGGTAAACCCATACTATTGAACCCTACTCAGCAATAAAAGGGAATAAGTGCAAGAACTTGTATTAACCTTAAGGAAATAATTCTGAGCAAAAAAAGCTGATCTTGGAATACGTACCACACGATTCCATACATACAACATTTGGGAAATAACATGTTACAGAGATGAGGAACAGATTAGTTGCTGCCTGAGGTTAGTGATGGGGAGGGTAGGTGTGGCTCTAAATGGGTCATTGCAGTGAGCTTTGCTGTGATGCTATAACTGCGTATCCCGATTGTGGTGTTAGTGGTAAAATTGCACAGAGCTATATGTATATGCACATGTCTGATTAAGTCTAAAATACATTCTGTGGACTGTACCAATGTCAGTTTCTTAGCTGTGATGCTGAATCCTAGCTATGCAAGGTGTAGACATTAGTGGAGCTGGGTGGAAGGCACATAAGACTTCCCTGTACATTTCTTTGTGACTTCCTGCAAGCTTTAATTATTTTAAAATTGAAAGTAAAGAAGAAGATAACTTTTGGGTTTGAAAAGTGGTCGAGGAAATTTGTGCAGCCAAAGGACTTTGGCTCAACCCTTGGCACACGTTTTATAATATGCCTAGGATTTTGTTCGTATTCAGGTACAGTGAAGCCAACAGATCAGGAGACAATTACCATTGAAAAGATAGTTTGTTACAGCTCCCAAGAGGAGGGAGCAGACACCATGGTACTTAAATTGTTGGGAACCAAGAATTTTCCGCCCTCTCCAGGTCCTTCTAACTGGACTAAGAATACAGATTAACATGAGGCAGATTAACAGGAGAAAATCAAATTTAATAGCATACAAATGGAGAATCCACACAGACATGGAGATTCCGAAGACAGGCAAAACGAGATGTATATATAGGTCATCCTGAACTAAGGAGGAGGGGGTAAGGGTCTGGGACTTCCAAAGAAAGGGATGCAGGGTACAGGAAGACGATTAAAGAATGAATGTTTGGTACGCAAATGTTTGCTGGGCTACCTGGAACCATAGGGACAGAGAAAACTGTGATCGGTCTTTGCTAGGTTCCTCTCTGTCTACCCTGCCTAGTTCACATCCTAATGTAGTGGTCTAAGGTAATAGTTGTCTATGGTGGTAGTTGTCTATGGTGATGGCTCTGTTCCTAGAGCAGGTCCTCTACTGAAATTCTTTTAGGCTGTGGAGGGGCACCTAAAGTGCTTTTCCTAATCTGCTGTGTTTTGATTGTTTTTTAACTCGAAATAATTTTCATGACCAAGTGGCCCATTTTGGGGCAGCCTGCCCTTGGCCCCTACAAGTCCACTCTGGAAAGACCAAGGTCATTCGGGAGGCAGGTGGAGTGTGGGAAAGCAGGGACCAGAGCCTTTGTTGTGGTTTTAGCAGGAAGAAAGGGGTGAGGCAGGGTAAACAGCTGAACAGGCTTAGGATTGGATAGTTTGAAAAATTTTTGGCAGGCCCTGGCCTATAGAGGTGGTCTCAAATTGTTCCAAACCTGGCCCTGGGGTGATTTAAAGCAGAAAGAATAATAGCTTCCTAAGTGAGAATTTGATAAAGGCGATTGAACTCTGAATTGGTTGGTTTGCATATCAACGAGTGCTCTCCCTGGTAAGTGTTTTGCTAGCTCCAGGAATTAGCTAACCCCGCAGGTCCAGTCTCTTTCCCTCTTGGGGTTTGTAAGGTTCCAAGACGTCAAAGCATCATAAAACGTAGAGGAAAAAAAACCAACATGATTAATAGAGTGTACCTCTTCTTAGCAGTTGTAACTCCAGAGTGTTATTTGACTGTTCGAGCCTCAATTTCCCCTTCTGTATAATTTGGATACTAATAATAAGGTCTGACTTATAAAGTTGCCATGAGGACAGACAAGAAAATAATCCACACAAAGCACTTAACGACGGTGCCTGGCATCTGTTAAGCACTCAATGAAATATGCTAATAATATGCAGCTTGGACTCTTGACAAAGCGCTATCAGGTACAGTAGTGGGTGGATTTGGAGGTTTCAATAAATCTCCACTCTAATAATTTATGAAATGACTAATGTCATATACAGAATTCTGAAGCAAAAGTCTCTTATTCTATCCTGTTTCCATTTTATTGTTACTTCCACTAAATTCTAGGATAAACTCCAGAGGGGAATACACATTGGTAGCAAGGAAAATCTGAGTACTATCGTAGGCTGTGATGTGTTTGTAATACACTTATTACACATATAGAAACTGATCTAGAAATTATCTGCGTGAAGCACAATGAAAATAGGTATTCTGACTTGGAACATCAGCACCCCATGGTTTCTTCCGATCCATACTGTAGTTCTAGGAATTGGTTGATTTTTCAGGGGCAATATACTCAGGTTGCACACAAGAACCCAGTTATATTCAAAGGCTTAGCTCATTTTCTTTGCATGAAGATAAATCATGTTTTGTCAGCTAAAGAAGGTTAGAAGTCAATTGGTAAATGGATGGCTTCACCACTGATCTGTGGAACTTCACGGGGGCATCCAGCTAACTGTGACACCCCTCATCACTTCATAAATTAAAAACAATCCATAAATAACTTACTCTAAATTAGATGGGAGAGTGACATTTCAGGAGGCGTGGGGATGGGAAAGACGGGCATTTCCCTGCAAAAATGAAAGAGGCCCCTTGAAAGATCCCATAAGCATTGCTCAATTTTAGTGAACGTGACAAGCTGAACACAGGCCTGATAAAACCCCCAAAACTATATAAATTGTCTAAGAAAATTGAGATACAAGTGATCCACTTAAGTAAGAGTCTGAAGTCAGGTAACTTTACAACAGCACTATATTTTCTGCAATATGATATGCAATTAATTCTTCCTTAAATAAACAAACTGATTAAAATTTCATTATGCTGACATCTCACAATAAACCTGGATCCAGTGAACCCCTTTCTTTCTGCTTATTTAAGTCTTTATAATTAATTCTGGATTTATGTCATTTGCTGGTCAATGTTACAGTCACCTTACTAACTAAGCAATTCTAAAGCTGTCGGAGCTCACAGGAGCCACTGAAGCAGTGGGTGATGGCTCACCGTTTTAATCCAATCCTCGGTTTGTGAAGTTTTTATTTTCCCGGGCTGCGGCATTTTCCTTTAACCAAGCAATTAAATGGTAATGTCTTCCCTTTATACGCAACAGTAATTCGATTGCAGCTGGACAGATGTGGCAGCATAATTTTGTCCAATTCGCAGCCTCCTAACCCATTTCTACCTCTTACTATTTTTTTTTTCTTTCTGTTTCAGCCCCCGAAACTATTTGGTCATCACTGGTACATTTAAACTATGAGGTTATACAAAGATCCTGAGCATTCTCCGCGTCACTCGGTGACCCTCATTTGTGTTGTTAACTTCCTTCTCTCAGCAGGTGTTGGCTGGGCTCCATGAAGGCCTTTCAGGGCTACACATGGAAGGCACTCCTGGTGTATCTCCGAGAATGCAGGAGATCCCTACCAAGCAGGTAGTCAAATTCCAAGCCTCACGCCCCACCTGCCCCTTGTGGTAAGTTGGTGTTTCCTTTCACCATATTTCAGCATGCAGAATTGTCACCGGCTTTTAAAATGTGCTTATATACATAAATGTTTCAAGAGTGGCCTTTGGAGGGTAGATCTGAAATGGTATCACCACAAGAAAAGAAAGGGTAGAGGCCAGGCGATGGAAGCGTCCGCTAACAACCGGGTTGTGATAATCTCGCAACATGTAAGTGAATCAGATAGATGCCTTCTGTGCCTTAAACTTACACAGTGTGATATGTGAATTGTATCTCAGTGAACCTGGAAAAAAACACAAGAGCGGCCTTTCCTGGAAACAAAATGAAATCAAATAAATCATAAGCATGTAATTTGTACTTTTATCTCATACAGGTAGGGCATTATCATGAAGTCTTCTCTCACGGAAATTTCTTTCCCGGACTTCTCCCCAAATCCTCCCTGTCAACACAAGTTACATCCTGCTTTGAGGCCCAGATGAGTCTTCCAGGATTATGTCTCTCAGGGATGCTCCTTTTCTCTGAAGAATTTCATTGCGCCTGACGTTGATGTTTTATTTTCTAGTTAGAGATGTTTTTTTTGTGCGTGTATGACTATTCATTCCACAAGCATATCACTTAATCCTAAAACGAGTCCTTTTATGAAGGGCTTCCAGGGTGAGAGTCAGACATTTTGTTTTTCTTTTTTTCTTTTTTTCTTCCAATGAACGTAAATTACACAGGCTAGGAAGTCGTGATACAACCATAGGGAACTACTTGCTGTTCATTGTTTATTCTTATCTCACTTTGTTCTAAAAAAGGTTTCAAGGTGGCTTCCAAGGCAGTGTATCTGAACCTGAATAATAAATTATTTTGTAATAAATGGCCTTGCATTGCACACTTACACGATGACTTTATGTCGTTTTCATTCTGTTTAACCTCACGGCAGTTCTGTGCATTAAAAGGCTATATGTCACTGCTCTGCAGGTTAGAGAAAACCGGATCAGGCTCTGAAGTAGTGAGTTTCCTTTCCTTTACCGCCTCCCTAGTATGCTTCTCATCACTTAGGAACAGTAGTTTTCTTTTTCCCTGAGCCAGTACATGAATCGCTCGTCTTTGAGACAGTTTAATAGACATACTGAATCAGATTATTTGGGAAAGCAAACAGACTGATACTGATGTCACGGTCACAGAAAGGTAGGTCACGTGTCTTATCAAATGCTAACCCATAAAATGCCCAATGAATTCCATTTTGAATCACCTATGGATTGAGGGGAGGTGATATTTGTAATGGGGAAAATAAATAGACAATGAGATTCTGCATAGACTGCTCAGTTGGTTTAAATCTGAACTGATGCTTCTCTGTTCTCAGACTGTACTTGGGATTAAAGTAGGTGGATGATAACCAATCACTTCCGAGCCCCTAGAAATAGCCATAACGCAAAAATAGGTCCACCCAAAATGGGAACTCAGAAAGGATTTATTAAATAGCTTAACTTTGTTTGCATTGATAAATGAGCCTTTCTTTTAAAAAAAAAAAAAAAAAGATTTATTTATTTATTTATTTTTTGGAAACTTGGTTTCTAAGTGAGCCAGCTGCAGATGCCTTTGGGACTTTTGCAGCGTCATTATGAGAAACCGTCTGTCTAGCTTTCTTTCAAAATCTCTCAAGCTCTCTCCAGGTGTTGAGATTTAAGGATGTGCCATTCCTTACATGGGCTGCACAGGATGGACTCACCCACACTGTCAGCACCTCATGCACATGCACGAGAGAAGGCTCTCTTTGTATACTTCCTCAAGGCACCTCAGTGTAGCTATCTCATTCTGTTTCAAATTAACATCAGTGCTCGTTTCCGCTGGTTATGCCCTGTAAAAGGAACTCTATATCCTTCAACTGTTCTCCGTTTGCAGGGCACCATGGGAAGCTGTTAAGATATGCAAATCGTGTTGTGTCAGTGTGCTCTCCTGGGTCATTTTCCCCCCCTTTCTTTTAGGAAATCTCAAAGCACATGTTAGAGTTTGGCTCTTAATACTGGAGGAAAAAAGAACAGTGACTGTGGGTTCTCCCTATGAATCTTCTCTTGGGGACAGAATTTCTAATAAGGTTGAGTCCTCCACTTTGGGAATATTGCAGGGACCAGTGAAATTGCATGGTAAAATCACTAAAGCAGTCTTTAAATACACTGAGAAACGGTCGCTATCATTTATGTGTTTACCAATTATTTTTCCAGAAATAGAACTTTGCCAGAGAATGAATTCTTCAATCTGTAAGTAGTTTTAAGTGGCATGGTGAATAATCGAGTTTCTCTCTGTGACCTAATAGTTAGGAATATAGTAAGGATGAGACTGGCCCAAGTTCAAATACTCACTTCCACTGACTGTGTGATATAAGTTGTTGAAAATCTCTTACGTTTCTGGCATCCTCATTTTTGTACATCAGAATTATAATACCTAGTTCATGGCCTAGCACAAGGTAATGTTCCTGTCACATGGTCATCGTTCACTCTAGGAAAGCTACCATTGTTATTGTTATTTACTTACTTAGGAGAAAATAAGTAGTTGGTTGACTATTGCTCATCCAGAGCATTATTTGAGAACTTTTAACGACACATTTCTCATCATGGATCCGATCAATTGCCCCTGAATTCACTCTCCCCACCTGTTATATATAATTGATAAATAATACAATAATAACTTTCTTATAGTAACTAAGCCAGCTCAATAATACTGTTTTTACCATGGTGGAAACAGAAAAACAAATGATGCAGATTTTAGCAAGTGGCTTATTATAAAGGTATTGTTCTAATTTAAATACCCCATAATAGGTCACTAGTGCAGTGTGACAGTGAATGTTCCACCATAGTCCCGTGTGTCCCCCCTCACCCCTTCTTACACATGACAATAGCCCCTAGCTCTTCCTCCTCACCCTTCTTGATAAAGTCCAAGTTGTCCAAACAATGGCTGCTAATTCATAGAACAATTCCTCCTCCTCCTAGAGCCATCTTGCCCAACTATTCCAGAAAATAGTTGCTGAAAGGCACCACCTGCTGAAGCCCTACAGAAGATTCTGCCCTCCCTGCCCAATGAAGTAGAATGCTCCTTTGGAGTCGTCTCAGACCTGGCATTTTGAAACAAAGGCTCATTCATGGTGCCTTTGTTGATTTTCTTCCACATGTAGCTTATGTTTCCTTTTTTTCTAAGTTTAAGAAATATTTTTCACAAATGGCAGAATATCTTGTTTTTCAAACCATCTGTCACTGCCTTGAAAATAATCATTTGAGAGAACAATGACAGATTACGATTACTAATAAGAAAGCAAATGATTTCACATGTCCACAAATCAGGGATGGAGTTCAGGATCCCTAAAATATGGCACCTTGGCATATTGAATATTTCAAGTTGAAGGTGCTCGAAAAAATGGCAGAGGCAGGAACATCACTCTGACTTCCTTGCCTGCTTGCTCTTCTATCCTGAAGCAGATCAATAAAACAGTCATGAGAGGGGTGCCCCTCTGTGGTCCCCAGGAAAGGACCATCCTTATCTCTGAGAACAAAGGGGTGTCAAGAAGAATCTTGACATACGGGGCTCGCTAAGTTTTCCCCAGTTTACTAACATTATCCTGTACTCCTTAACCTATCGTATTTCTCCAGAACTGTCCACTCATCACACCTAGCACTTAAAGTGCACGGGTTTCTGTTCCTTTGGGTCTTCATTTCCTTATGGAGGCTCCGGGTCACATCAAATGTACATTAAATAAATGCCTTATGCTTTCCTATACTGTTCACCTGTCTTTGTCGGTTTAATTTTCACACCCAGCCAGGAACCAACCCTAAGAGGGTTGAGGAAAATATTTCCTCCTCTACATCAGCTTAGATGTAGACTCTGGGAGATGCCAGATTTAGAATTAATTTCTAGAAGTCCCTTACAACAAACTCTTCCAGTTGGTTACATGTTTCCATTAAAAGTCAAGTAACCACTGGCACTCTTCACAGACATTATAAAAAGGTGTGATGTGGAAACAAAGTGAGTAAAGAAAATCACAGCTGCCCTAGGAGAGGCTCAGAGATCTTGTAAGTCAAAGATGCTATAGACCAGGCATCACCAGACTGAGATCCACATGCTGAATTCAGCTGGCCTCCTGTTTGTTTTTGCCTATGAGTTAAGAATGGTTTTCGCATTTTCTAATGGTTGGGGAAAACATAAAAAGAATAACCATATTTTATGACCTGTAAATGTTATATGAAATTCAAAATTCAGTAACCATAAGTAAAGCTGTATTGGAGCGCAGCTGCATCCATTTGTTTGCCCATAGTAGGTCTGCTTTTGCTCTGCAGGAACAGAGCTGAGTAGTTGGGAAAAAGACCACTGGCTCCCAATGCCAAACATCTTGACTACCTGGCCTTTTATGAAAAAAGCCGGCTGACGCCGAGTATAGACCATTGGAATTATAGATGGCCATTAGAGTCCAATTTTCAAAGCTCATTTTCATTTGTTTGTTTTGGTGACATAAGAAATTGCTTATATTACAGAGTTAAGGAAATAAAAGCACCATGGGAAATTATATACAGTGTAATATTGATTATGTAAAATCAAAATGTGTAAATTATGTAAAAAAAGAAATATGCTTAGATGTTAACAGTACTTGACTTTAGATTGAAATTTACACATTCTGTCCCCTGCTTTTCTCTGTTCTTTTGGGATGTCTACAAACTAGAAAATCAGAAGAAAGTATTGAAAACAATTTTAAGTGGAACAAATTTGTATGACAATCTGTAAAATTGTTTCTACACTTTGGTTCTGGTACATTAAACATGGGACATAGTTTATAACTATATTCTGCTAATTAAGGCTCCAGAGACCACATCTAGATAACTTCATCTCCCAAAATCTACGTAACACATATTTTTTTTCCAAAATAACTGTTAAATTATTAAATACCCTTAATAAAAATCTGAGTACAATTCTAATATTTCTGTATCTTATGAGTAAAGTAAACATTATGTTTCTGTTATTTTGCTAAACTGGGAAATGTATTGCTAATGAATCAGCTAAAAATTGTAAATTTTGAATGAAGAATGT